CCCCAAAACCCCAAAACCCCAAAACCCCAAAACCCCAAAACCCCAAAACCCCAAAACCCCGATGAGATAAGCACAGATTGAATTTTAGGAACAACTCATAGCTTATTCAAATTCATCACCTGGGATGTAGTACATCGGAAGATGGTTCAGATTCACCTTGATGAATTCAAGTGTTTCGTCTTCAATCGATTGAATCGTTTTATCGTTCATTAGCTTCTTGAGTTCTTTCATTCTTTCTCTGGAGATTCCTTCGCCACTCTCGCTTTCATCGAAGACTTTCTTGAGGATCTCTCTCATGTCTTCCATCCCTTGGATTCCTTGTCTCATTCTCAAGCAGAAGTCGCCGAACCACTCGTGGTACAGTGCCATTGCCCAGTTCTCGCTAAGGAACTCAGTCACGTTCGAAATGACTCCATTTTCAAACCTTGATGTGAGTTGATTCAAGTAGTTTTCGTGTAGGCCGACGAAGCTCCACAAAGATTGCACGACTACTTCTTCCGTTCCGAAGTAAGTGACAGAGTCGATCAACCCGATGTTGTTAAATGTGAATGTGATGAGGGCTCCTTTACCATCATCTCCGACGTTGTCTCACATCAAGTCAGGCCTATTCTTGGTGCTTGCGCTTCCAGCTTTCAGCTTCAGAGGATTCGTAGTGAAAATGTCATAGAACCAGTAATCTCCTGGAATTCGACCTCCATATCCTTGAGGCAAGAAGAAGCTAGGCAGTTCTTCTTCAGTCAGACTTGACTGCTCTTGTGAAGCAGCAGCTATTGCAGGGTCATAGATATCGAAAACAGATCTTGCGAGTCTACTTCCCATTTCTCTTCCGTTGTATCTGTCCAGCCTGAGAGGTCTTCCTTGTGAAAGTGAAGCGTATCTTCCTGAGAACTCACAAAGAGCTCCAGCAGCGTAAATCGACAAGTCAGTAGTCTGGAAATTCTTATCGACAATAAACCTTCCGTTATATACAAGTCCATTGTTATGGATTGCACTGAACACATCAGGGTCAACGTTTCTGTGGCCTGCCGTAATGAGGACTTTACAGTCAATGGGGAGCTCGTTCTTCTTCCTCCTCTTCTTAGGAATCAAATAGTCTTCTCCTTCTGCAGAGAGGTCATCTCCGTCTCCTTCTCCGTCCCTGAAGTTCTGAGAATGGTCTCCGAACTCATCATCGTCTTCTTCTGCTTCTTCGTCTTCTGTGATGTCAAGCCTAATGAAGAGAACGGACTTGAGTCAGTTTTCGTCGTCTTTCTCAATGCTCTTGAGACGACAGTGCTCGAAAATAGTTATCCCCATTGCAATGAGGTTGTCATGAATTTTCTGTCTGATGGTTCCATCTTTGAAAGCTTCGGGGTTGATGAATGGAATGTCTGATTCCATCTCATCAATCTCGTCATAGTTAGCATCGAGATGGCAGTCTGCGTCTGGGATGATCAGGTAGATGTTCTGAGGTCTGACTCCTCTTCTGATGAGCCCTTGGATACAGCAGTAAGCATTTAAGGTCCTGCCATACACAACAACGTCGTTCTTCTTCTTTCTGTTTGAAAGAAGCCTGATGAGTTCGCCACCTTTCTCTCAGTGTTTGTACAAGAAAGGATCATCAATTGATAGAAGGCCTTCAACAACTTCTTTTCCTTCAGGAGTTGGAGAAATCCCTTTAGAAGAGTACCCGAGAGTGTTCAGAGTCTGGTCTTGAAGTCCCATCGTGAGAATCAGTGTGTCATATGGAACCATTGCGCCATCATGAAGAATGACTTTCTTTTCTTGTCTCTCAATGTCAATCATTCTAGCGTTGATGACTTGTACTCGGTTCTCGAGCATGAGTCTTTTGAGCTCTTCGTTCGTGTAGCTGGTGCTGTAGGCTTTCAAGTTGTCTCTCTGATCTTCGCAATGGTGGTGAGGAAGTCCTCCAGGAGAAACCAAAATGATATTGGTGAATCTGAGATAACTGATTGAAAGCAAAGCTTCAATAAATGAAATTCCAGTATCACTTGACCCAATAACTACGATTCTGGAATTCTTCACAATTTTTGGTTCACTGAGAAGCCTCCTGGTCGCAAAGCAGAGAGCAAATGGAGCTTCTTCTTCGTCAAGGTAGTCTCTTTCGGCTCCATCCATGTCGTCTCTGTTTTCATCTTCATTGGGATAGATGTTTCTTTCGTGGTCCCACTTTCTCTTCAAGAAGTGAGGGAACCTTCTGGCTCTGACACTGATAAGCTCGTTGAAAATCTGGGTAATCACTGTTTGGCTAGCTATTTCGAAGTATAGGCAGGTCTTTCCAGAAAGCCTGAGAATTTCCTTCAAGAAGTACCTTGTGTCCCGTTCGAAAATGGGATTGATTACTGAATGGAGCATTCTGGTATGGCCTCTGGTGTCATGCTCAGGAAGCAGAATGCTGTCTTGAATGTGGAAGTGGCTTTTGTAGTAGTTCAAGTTGACCCCTTTAGACAGAACGAAAACTCCAGTGACTGTATTCGCAATCTTGGCTACGTATGTCTGATACTTTGACTCTGGGTTGACCAAAGAGCTGTAAATGTCTTCATTGATGACTTTGGAATTGTCTAGAGCACCAGTCAGCGAGTTGATATCTTCAATGTCATCAGTTACTGCTCTTCTGACAACAATTTCGGTGTCTAAAAGTGAGTCTCTGTGGATGATGTATAGGACGTGGTTGAACGTATTGTTTGGCTTCCGGTCTACCAGCGTAAATTTCTGAAGCAGAGTCGACTCTGGCACTGTGTGAGGCTGAGTCAGAATGAGATAGTCTCTGTCTGGATACAAGTCAAATGCATATTTCAAAAAGTCTCTGCTTCGAGAGTCAAATGCAACTTCAATACAAAACAGCGTTACGGCAAAAGCGTTTTTGGCTTTATCTGGAGGCGACGGTAACGTTTCAAGGTCTTGAATTGTCCTCACAACTTCATCATACTCAGGGTCATCTGAGTACCTGATTTCTTCTTCCTGAGGAGAAGGAGCATTTGGCTTTGAAATATAGTTATCCATTTCGTCTCCTGTGACGTTAAGTTCTGAGCCTGCTTCGTCTCTTGGCTCGAGCCCTTCGATGGCTCTTTCGGGGTCGATGTTGCCAGTGACAATTCCAAGTTCAGAAAGAGTGAAGTCGTAGTCTTGCATTTTGCGAACAGCCTCATACATGTCATGAATAGATGTTTCATAAAGCTTAACGTTGATTGGCTGAGGTGGAGCTCTCTTCTTGATTTCATCGCTGTCCTCGTCGATGGAAATGGCTCTTGGCTTCTTTTCTTTGCCCTTGCCTTCTTGTTCTTCTTTGAGCCTGGCTTCTTCTTCAGCTCTCTTTTTGTTGAGTTCTCTCTGGATTTCTTTTGGGTCCTTTTCTGGCATTCTGCATACTGTTTTGAGCTGGTACTCGATCTGGCCAAAGCATCTCAGCAGTTTCCCTACAGTTCCGTTCGGCAGTTTATGGAGCTCGATTTGACGGTTGGTTAATATCTTCTCAAGCGACATGATATCCACACACTGCTTGAACGACTTCTCACCATACTGATCAACAAAAATTGAATCGATGACATCTGACTCTTTCTTCATTTCGATCCTAATTTGGGATCTGACATCACTGTTCAGAGCCACGAAGTCCTGGAAAGCTTTGAGGAATGGGTCAAGATCGAAGTGAGTGGGCTTGACTTTCTCTTCTTTGTCGTCTGCTTTCTTGAGATTTTTGAATTTCTTTTTCAAGTTTTTGTTTTTGTTCTGCTTCTTTTTCTGCATTCCTCTGAGCAAATTGGTTCCGGCTTTCTGATCTTTCTCTTTGCCCCAGTCTGGGAAATGGCCATTGCCTTCCATATATCTGGGAGGCAGCCCAAATATTTCTAGACAACTCAAAGCAAACTCGTTTTTGGTCTGGATGTTTGTGCACAGTTCGGAGTCATCAGTGGGATTGTTGAAAAAGTATTCAGATGGCTGAGGAACTTCAAATTCTGCAAACCATTCATCGAAGAGGTCTTCTACATCTGCTCTGGTTAGCTTCTTGATTTCTTCTTCGTTTCCCTTCATCTTCTCAATGGTTTCTTTGATTTCTTCTGCCTTGGTTATGAGGAACTCTTGGAACGAAATTCTTTGTGCTATGATGTTGCATTTCATGGTTTCTTCTTTGAGCATCCTGAGTTCCTGTTCTCTTCTCTTTTCTTGTTGTTGTTGCTGTTCGGACCGGAGATGTTCCCTTCTCTTGTTGACAGCATCCATGAACTCAGGCTTGAACAAGTTGTCATGCTGCTCGAGGTCGAAGCATTCATGTAAGAACTTAACGTCAAGATCAGAAGTGAGTCCTAGAAGCCCGATAGCTTTGTCTTTGACTTGAGCAACCAAAGCCTTGTTCTCGTGGTCCTGGGCAGCAATCAGTTCGGCCAAGAAGTAGTCTCCATAAATCTCAGTCACTGTTTCTGACTGAGAGTTGAACACTGCAGCCAAATCATCGTGATCTTCTTGTTTGGCAACTCTGACTTCGACGAAGGGGAGCACCAGGAGTCTAGACGAAAAGAACACTCGTGAGTTGTAATGGACACCTCTGACTTGCTTGAGGACTTCTCGGTTTCTGCAGTTGATCTCTTCGAAGTACTCTCCAAGCGGTTCGAAGCACTTCTTTATATCGTCTTCTTCAGCGTCTCCTTTCATTAGAAAGAGGATTCCGAGAATATCTGGGAGAGACGTATACACAGTTTGAAGAACTTTCTTAAAAATCTTTCCTTGATCTTCATCAGAGATGGACTTATCAGTGACGAAGTAAGTCATCCAGAGGGTGTTGGCGCTGTTGAATTCATTTACCTGGAAAGCATTGACAAACCAGCTTTCCCAGAGGTTGTAATGCAAGTCATCGGATGTACCCTTTCTTCCCTAAAGTCACTTTTAGAATTCAAATTCAAGCTTGAATTTGAGCAAAGAAACAGTAATCTTACCTGAGGGTAGTCTTCGAAAGTAGCAAATGCAATAATGTTTCCTTCTTGATTCAGAACCGTGATGGACAGGTAGGAAGTTTCGATCAGCTTCAAGTGCTTCGGATATGAGTAAAATCTGTTATAAATGTCATCGAACTCGACGAGGTTAATAATCTGCTCAAAATCATCTGGATCTGATCTCCTCAGGATGATATCATCGTAATCGGGGTCTTGCTGGTTATATATTTCAACCCTTTCACCTGTAGCTTCAGACATTGGTTCAAATTCTTATAATTTAAATCAATAATTTTATTTTTAAAAGGGGTTTTGGGGTTTTGGGGTTTTGGGGTTTTGGGGTTTTGGGG